CTTTTGGAATTGTATTTTGTATATTCGTGTAAAGATTGCCCTTTAAATATATAAATCTCTCTTGACACACACACACACACACACAAAGAATGACAAACAGGTAAAACGGTATATCCAAACACTTTAAGGCTCCATGCACACTGGGCGTTTTAGTAACGCTGGTACGTTAGCTGTGTAAAGTCATGGAGAAAAAAAAAAGTGCGTTTTTCAGCGTTTTTTGTATTTGCATTTATTCACGTTTGTTTTTTAGAGTTTTGACCAGAAGAGAGGGAAAAAAAAAAAAAAAAAAAAAAAAGTTTTTCCTGGTCAAAAAAACATCCAAAAACACTGGTTTGCCACAATTTACAGAGTTCGAGCGTTTTACAGCTAAAAAAACTCCTCTAGAAACCCACTAGTTCTGGGCGTTTTTACCAGCCAAAAAAACATTGATTACAGTCTGTGTGTGCATAGGATAACATGCTGGGGAGTTTACTGGCTGTAGAAGGGAAAAAAAAAAAAAAAAAAAAACACACGTCAAAAAGCCAAAAACAGCAGCTGTAAAAACGTCCAGTGTGCATGAGGGCTAATTGGTTTGTATAAATACAATGACATCTAAATGTTAAAATAATTACACTTTGAACACATTCACCTCTACAAAAATTCTGCTCTCATAAGGCATACAACTTGCATTAGTGAAAAACTAAGAGGTTGGCGTGGCTGCTTCTGCATAGAAACAAGAACTGCTGGCCAACCAGGCTGGGTGTCCTATTACAGCAATCTATATTCTACATATCCAGCAAAGTAGTTATTACAGGAGGTTACTCTGAGTCAATGCCCCATAGTTACACCATGTCATCATATACTGGAGTCATATGACTTCCTCTAAAAAGCTTGCAAGTAGCAAATTGACAAATATTTAGCTATGTGAAAGTTATACTGAACTGTGTTGGCAAACAGGGAATTGAAGCAAAATAAATACTTTAAACTATATGAAAGTCTAAAGAGATCATACATACTACATTGAATAAGCAACATAAAACAAAAAACTATGCAATTCATACGGAGAAACTGCACACAAAAAAAAAAAAAAAGCCCTAGTGAGTCTCACTGAAAATCCTGTCTAAATCTGTTCATTGAGAGATACAGGTTGTTAAAGTCCTAGCCAAATTCAACTTTCTCTGCAAAATTCATTCTCCTCTCTCTCTACTCTATTATCGATTTAGTGATGCAACACTCTTGCTTCCGCTGTGCGATGAGACAACAGGTGGGAAGCCTAACTTTCATCATTCAAGGCGTGCGCTGCTAATATGGAATCGTGTCTGACCTTCAAAGAGGGCAAATTGTTGGTGCCTCTGACTCAAGTTGCCAATTTGCAGTGTTGCTTTCACACCTGCAAATCAGGTAGCACTTCCATTTTTGTCTAACGTGTGACACACACACACACACCTCTGGATCAGACTGCTTCAGCCTAGGTTCATACTAGTGCTGCTACAGAATTAGGTTTCTTTTTCGGTGTATTTTTATAGTGCGATTTTATGCTTCATGGGTTTTTATGTAGGAGGAAGAGACTGGCTGTCAACACACAAACCTGCCAAAAAAAAAAAAAAAAAAAAAAAAAGACCCAAAATGCATTTATATGCATTTTGCATGTGCTCCTCCCACTGGAGCCTATGGGGCAAAAAACACTGCTGCACCAAAAGCAGCACCTGCTCCTTTACAAACATCAGACCACCTCATGTTGCATTAATGTGAAAAGGCACCATAGAAAATGCAATATCCAATGCAATGCAGGGCAGAACAACAGAAGTCACAGGAGACATCTCATTGGTGTGAACGAGGCCTTGAAGTGATACTAAAGGTTCAGTTTTATTTTTAAAAATAACATATGTCATAACTACATGCTTTGTGTAATGGTTTTGCACAAAGCAGCCTTGATCCTCCTTGGGTTCCCTGCCAGCACACCTGACTCCTCTCCGTATTGAGTGTCCTGAGAGCAAGTTGCTTGCTCTGGGGGCACTCACATGTGCTCACTCCTGAGCCACCTCTGGGTGTCTAGAAGACACATAAAGCACAGGTTGGCCTCACCCCCTCTTCATTGGCTGTGACTGACTGCATCAGGAGCCAATGGCTCTCGATGCAGTGTCAGAGCCAATTCAGGGAGAGTAGTTCTTCTCATGCACAGTGCTGGACTGGGATTGGGCCCAGGTAAGTATTAGGAGGGGCTGCAAACTGAAGGTTTTTTGCCTTCAGTCATAAAAAAGGTAAAAACCTTTAGGACCACTTTAATGAAGATACGGTAACGTATATTTTTTTCTGTTATATGCTCAACTTTAATTGCTCAGATTTGTGACATGTGTCTTAACAAATGCCTGCCATAAAAAAGGTACCAAAACCCATCTTTCCATCATGTATAACGCAACAACCTATTTACACATTTTTTTTTTTATAGCGCCCTTGATAGAACTTAACCTACTACTTTCCCTTGCAATAGGATGAAAAAAAGAAAAAAAAAAAAAAAAATCCAACAGTGATAAATAATTCAGGATTCAAACAGAGAACATACATGTATTATATACATGCTGAAAAGACTGCATTTGAGACAAAGTGGTAGGCAGACAGGCAGGCTTTTCTCCCTGAAACCATGTTGTGCATTCTGGAACAGAAGGGTTTCAGGCATGTATATGTAGCATGCTTCCTAAAAAAACAGACTTATCTGGCACCCCAGCACTGGAAAAAAGCTCAGCGGTTTTTAAGGGAGGGAGTTTCCTGCTCTGCTGTACTTGTGGTTGTGAATGACCTATAATAACACAGTCTGGTATACAAGGTTACTACAGGGCAGACTTTGTGCTCCGTTATTTCTAATATAAAGTCAACATTGAAATCTAAATGCTTTCTGCTTCACTGTAACCAATTTGGAACTTCAAATTGTTTTTGTTTTGTTTTTATTTTAAAGTAAAATGTACCATTTTAATAAAGTTTATCATTAGCCCTAATGAACATTTCCAACAAGTCCTACAACTTTCTGCGGCAGAGTGCTCTGCCCCTTTGTTCCAAAAATGCTTACAGGAAGCTGGCTGCCAAATGAGTGATGAGATACAAAAAAGTAAACATTCTACAAAAAACACACAAAAACAGAAGGCATACACAGTCATGTTTTCAGTCTTGGGCCCCTTTCACACGGGTGATCCAGTCATTGATCCAGTCATTTCAGGCGGACCCAACCAAGCCCCTCCATTCTCCTCTATGGGCAGCTGGATGGAAATGACTTGGTAGCTGGGTGCAAACAGCAACTCTGATCCAAGCCAGCAAAAACAAGCAAAAGAGGGATCCCCAATCCCCTCCGTCTACCCGGATCAGATGGCAGTGGGGCGTAAACGGACAGCCAGTCCATTCACATGCGACTCTCCATTAGGGAGAGCTGGCTGTGTTTGTGTCCACTAAGCAATTCCACCCCATGTGAAAGGGGCTTTATAAGTGCACATGTTACTCAGCGATTCACTTTTCATGCAAGCCACTTAGCCAGTCCAAATTTACATACAGACTGGCCATCAGTCTCTCAAACATACATTTCCCAACATTCTGTAAATGTAATCAGTGTTTCATTACAAGAGTAACTGATCCACATAAGCAAGAATCCCAAATTTAAAATGCTGATCTGGAAAAAAGGATGCAGCAAGTAAAGTATCTGAAGTAAAATTAAGGTCAGGGCTATGGAGCAGATTGAAAACAGAATGGATACCGCCATCTGCTCTCTATTATACACAGCTAGTTTGTGCACACAGCAGCCCACATTTTATAGTCCATTGTAAAATTTGGGCCATAGTGTGGAGCCTGTGTACCCTATGGGAGTTCTCTTTGCTTAAAGGAGTGGGAGACTGATTGGAGGAAAGCTCCTATCCTGAAGTCAGCAGAAAGCAACACATATTTGTGCTTTATGAATTGTGTGGCAGGTTTTTTTTTTTTTTTTTTTTTTTTTTTTTTTAAAGGAGCAATATGATGGCAATATAGCCATTTGGCTGTTTTTTCTTTTTGTTTTTTTAATTTGGGACCCCAAAAGGCCCCTCTCAGACACAGTCCTGATCAGCAGGTGAACCACTCACAGATCCATTGCTAATCAGAGCAGGGCAGCCAACTGTAACTGGGCTCCGCTGTCTATTCCCACATGACTACTATCAGATTCACCTAAATGGGAGAGAAGAGATCCCCTTTTTATTTTTTTTTTAGCATAACAGATTAGACCCAGAGGTAGGCAGGTATAAATGGACACAAGTCCCTTCTGAATTAGCAAAACAGGGATATTGCAACTATACTGTGTATGTGTGCTAGGATCAGTTTTCATATTTTTGTTAAATCAATCACTTGGATAAACATTTATGAAAAGAGCTTCAGACAAGCAAAATACCAGCATTCAAAGCGGTTAAAAAGGCTCAAGATTTTTTAATTTTATTCTATGCATGAAGGTGAAAAACCTGTGTGCAATGTCTCTGATCCAGCTATGTTCAACAGCCTCTGATGTCTGGGGATTCTTCATCCTCATTGGCTGAGAGAGCAGTAGGAGCCCACTGGCTCCCGTTGCTGTCAATCACAGCCAGTGATCCAATGAGGAGATAGCAGGGGGCGGGGCTGAGCCATGGCTCTGTGTCTTATGGGTGCATTGAGCAGAAGCTCAAGGACGAGCACGTAGCTGTGCCCCCATGCAGAGCGCCTTTCCCTGGGGGCACTGCTTCAGGGGGAGGAGCCAGGACAGCAGGTAAGTATACCACATTTGTGATTTAAAAAATAAAACTAAATGAAGCTCTAGTGCCACTTTAATTCCATAGCCATTCTGCCCTCTGGAAGGAAGGGGGGCTGGGTAGTAATTTAGTGAAAGTCAGGTCTGTAATGTGAGATCTGATACATAAGTAAATTGGAAACACTGACCGGCATGTGAGACACAAAGTGAGCCAGCCTCCAGCATAAACAGATTTAAAACACACAATATATAATATCATACTCAAGTCTCTAATCACAGTGGTATTTACCTGGTCTGCTCCTGAAGAATGAGATGGGGTTCCACAAAAAATTTCACTCTTAACTTCATTCTAAATGGAGCCAAGCCGTCCATCTGCTGAGATATTCGATTTCGCAGATTCAGCCATAAATTCTCTCCTTTGTTACCACTGAACTGTAAGCCAAAGTAATCCACTTCAATAATGCCCAGCCGCTTGCACACCTACAATTTAAGAAAGGATGTTATACAAAAAAGGGACACACTCATTTTCCCCTTCTAAAGCATAACATTCTGAAAGACAGCCAATATCCTGAAAAGCAGTACAGCTCATCACTCCAAATTCTGTAACATGCATAAGATAAGTATTGAGTACAGCATTGGGTACATTCACCAGTAACAGGAATTAAGAATAATGTAATTGAACATGATTTTTCAGCATACTTTGCAGCAGAGCTTGGGAAAATCTTGACATAAAATTGTAAATCTTAATTTTTTTTATTAAATTATGTTACAGCGTCCTCTCCGCCCCATTTCATTTATGTACAGCATTGTATGGCCGAGCAATTGTCAGTTAAAGTAACAGCGCCTTATCGCAAAAAATGGTCAGGAGGGGGGAGGTGGTAAATCCTATGGAGGGCAAGTGGTTACTGCGCCTTTAAAATGCACAACCCTTCTATCATGCATTAAGGCTAGGTTCACACCTATGCAGTTTGTGTTTGATCCGTTTCAGCAGTGTGCATGGTGGTGCGTTTTTTGCACATGCGTTTGACGAGTTGATGCATTTTTCTTCTTGTTGCTAGGCAGATTAAAACAAAAAACGCACTACATGCTTTTCTGCAGCATTTCCATTGAAGTCTATAGCACCAAAAACGCAACGTTTTGAGTTTAAAAAAGTCCCTGACCCTTTCCAAAAAAAACGCACCAGGTGAAAACGTAGAGATGTGAACGTGTCCCATAGGAAAAACGGGAAATGGAACTGCTGTGCATTTCTGGAAAACACATTAGGTGTGAACCTAGACTTAAACAGATTTACAGCTTGCAGAGAATCAGCTGGATATTGTGCAGGTGAATCATGTCAAAGCTGTATGATTCGTAATTCCAGCAAACACACATCCCTGCTCAGGAAAGCATTGCCCATGTACACGTGCCATTAAAAAGCACGCTAGTTGTATATACAATGTCAAATTGTAAACACCACTAACAAATTGATAGGTTAAAGCTAGAACTTGGTTAAAGACTTAAAAAAAAAAAAAAAAAGGTATGGGGAACATCATGTGATTACATACAAAAGCTACAGCAAGAAAAAAGGAACCTACTTTTTTACTGCAAAGGCAGCTAAACAAATTTTATCTTGGTCTTAAAACAGACAAGCTGGCACATGTTCAATCTATTCCACATGCAGTGCAAATATGTCCTCAAACAAACAAATCATTGCAGCACTGTGTTAACATGAACAGTATGAATTAGGAGACTATCCTGGGCCAACAACCTTGTTCAAAAGGAATGTTGATGATAACAGATTTGGATGTGGACAGTATTTGTTTGCCTCAAGATACAGGCTTTATTGTGCAACCATTAAAGAAGGATACAGAGACATCTTATCTTTTGCTTTTAAACAATAGGCAATGTCACCAAGCCCCAACTAAATGTGAGATGGCTGATCTGATGAATTATAGATAAGGCCAGTCACTGGATGACCCATGCTCAACATACACAACTGACAACCATGGTATCTATTTGACTGGGATACTCAAACCCAAATAAAACAGATACTTTCAATCAGGTTTCCCCCAGAGGTTGCTAGGGGTTCTCTGAGCAGTGGTTGATTGCCCTCCTATTTGATGGTGCTTGCATAGTTTCACGATTAAAGCACTCCTTAAAAAAGCAGGCAGCAGGATACCAAATAATATTTTTAGCGGTCTGCAAAGTGGCATCCAGGGGGACACTGTAACCCTCCTAATATCTGTATAGATTGGTAGGCCTTGCAGCTTGAGTGTCAAGATCTTTGGAGGCGATTTTATCCTTATTCACCTATTCTTTATTGAAGAATAAGTACTGGATCAGGGGCTTATTTGTATCAGCCACATTTTAGTGCCAAACTACCGTTATCCGTTTTAGACTGCATCCAACTGCTCTAATAAAAACAGACAAACAGCAAGACATAGATAGCTGCAAAGTCAGAATTCAGTGTGTTCCAACACATGCATTTCTGTTACAGTAACTCCTAGATCAGCCTTTAACCGTTTTACCCCAGAGGGACCCTTTAAATAAATTTCAGGTGTCAGGGAACCCTTGCTAAGATTAGTCCATTGGGGTCATTAGGAAAATTCTCCTTACATTGGTGGTCAGTGAGAAGAATGCACCCTTACAGTGGTGATCAGAACACCACCGTTAACAGTCAAGTGAAAAGATCACTGGTGTCATTCTACTTGCTCTGCCAACTGGTAATGGATCTGGAACTATGAAAGAACCATCAAATGGGGGGTAAATCAAGGATCCCCTAGCAACCTCTGGAAGAACCTTAGGGTACCATGAAGCCTTGTTTGAGAATGACTGTGCTAGATGCCAAGACAATTGTAACTTTTTTTTCACAAAGCCATTATTGGCAAAAAGTATGCCTACATTGGCTAGCAGAACATTCTAATTAAAGTGATATTATAGGTTTCTTTTGTTCAGTCCATACATAGAATGCATGAAGGTACAAAAAAAAAAAAAAAAAAAATCTTCAGCCTTTACAACCACCCGTAGCACTTTCTTTGGCTGCTGAAGTTATAGTGTCAGCCATGTACTTGTAACAGAGTCATGATGTTAGAACATTCAAAACATGTAATTAATAGTAGATGGTAATACACACACACACACTACATTACATTACAGAAAATGGCACTTTTTGAGACCATGGGAAGGGGGGGGGGGGGGGGGGGGGGGGGGGGGGGGGGGAGTTACATGTAGAGAAGTAAAGAAGTGATCGCTCTGGTCTTCAACAAAATGGTGACCTCCAACAACAAGAAAATAGGAGCAATGCTAGAGACAATTTACAGCACACGAATATTGGTAGCATAATTATTAAAACGATACTAAAAAAGGTTCGGGATTTTTTTCTTTAAAATAATAAAAATGTCATTCATACTTGCTTTGTGCGATTGTTTTGCACAGAGCAGCCCAGAACCTCCTCTTTACAGGTTCCCCGCCATCACTCCTATCTCCTCCCTCCTGTTGGGTGCCACCACCAACAACTTGTCTTCCTGAAGATGCCAGACAAAATGAACATCGAAGACCAACGTGATTCAGTCATATCCGGGCTCTGGTGACATCACGCCCGGCCAGGACAGAGGTTTTGAACGCACGTCAGCCATCTTAATTTGAATATACAGGAAATACATGTTGGTGCCAGCTGCTCAGGCACTGTATCGTGTATCTAGTTTGTTTAATTCCTACTGTTCCTTATTAAATACTACACGATCAAACGTTTTTTCATTGTTGTGATTCCTTTCTAGTGGTATGGCATAAACAGCAAAGATCATCTATCCCTATAATATCATTTGGGGAATTTATAGGAAATTATACATCAGTCCTCTTGGCTATCTATCCATGAAGTGTGGCTGAGGGTAACCATTTGTGGAGGAACCTCTAGAGAATATCCTGGTCAATAAAACACAATGCGATATGACCACTGTAATGGGGTCATGTAGGTCTGGTGAGTGATCCATTCGTTTGCCTTTGCAAGAAGGTGTGGACACATGGATTTCTAAGTCACCAATTTTTGAGGTCTAAGAAGGACTGTCACAATTTGAACTCATTCAGCACATGGTGGAAGCATAAGGACGTTCTATGCAATTAGGATTTAGTAATTTATATTGTGGATTGTTTGGTTTATGCATGGCTTATATTCATTTATTGCTATTCATTCACAAACACTCATCAGTTATTCTATTGGGTTTATAGGGTGCATTCATATATTTTATTTAAGTACAGCACCTATCTATTCACTACTAATCTACATTATGTTACTATTATTAAAACATTAATTTTTAAAGTGAAGAGAGCTCTGAAGGGACGGCAGGCCACCATTTCAGAGCACAAGCTTTGGTGACGTCACTGTCTGCCTCCAGTGTCAATATCCCCTAAACAATGCAAATTTATATAGGCTTACCTGTAGTTGCAAGTTCAAAATCAGAGTTTACTACTGCTTAAGAAAAAAACAAAGGGGTCTTTTGCTATGAATACATCAACAAAGGATGTTGTAGAGATCTGTGGAAACAAAGCTGAACTCCAGTAACCTTGTGAAAAAGATCTCCATGAAGAGTCTGCATTGTCAAGTGGAGTCAGCAGAGAAGTGCAATAAGAGCTGACTAAACTTGAAAACAAATATAAATCACTGAAGAAATAGAATATATGGCTTTCCAGAAATCGTGAGATCACTACATGCCAACACAGTTTTAGAGTTTAAAGTTCACTTGTTTTATGCATTTGGAACAAAAGAGGCAAGCCAAGTGAACATTAACACAACATGGAGTACAATGTTGGCCTCATTTTTGTCATTATGGTTAAGATAAACAATTTGCTTATATAAATGAAAGAGGAAACGGGTTTAGGTATTCATTAATAAATGAAAAATAGGATACTAATAGCAACATGAATCTGCTGCAATATTGTCTCTAACTCCCAAATGGTGCAACCTGTGAGACTTGACAACACACACTGCTAATGTAACAAAGTAGCAAAGATAAGCTTGTAAACGAATGTAAAACAATTTTATCTATAGCTTGAATGTTACACCTGTCAACCTAAAGCAACTTTCTTTTACAAGTCCTCATGCACACTGGACGTTTTTACAGCTGCTGTTTTTGGCTTTTGACATTTTTTTCTACAGCCAGTAAACTCCACAGCATGTTATCCTATGTGTTCATGCACTGACTGTAATTAATGTTTTTCGGGGGTGTTTTTTGGCTGGAAAAAAACCCCCAGGACTAGTGGGTTTCTAGAAGTGTTTTTTGCTGTAAAAATGCTTTAATGTTGAAAAATGGCACTACAGCGGTTTTGAACTTTTTTTGGCCAAAAAAAAAAAAAAAAAAACGGAAACGCAAAAAAATTTGGCTAAACGGTAATACAACAATGCTAAAAAAAAACTCATGTTTTTAACGTGACTGTACACAGCTAACGTTAGCAGCGTTATTAAAATGCCCCGTGTGCATGGAGCCTTAGGCCCCTTTCACACTCGTTGAGATAAGAAGGGGATCGGTCTGCTGATCAGAGTAGAGTTGGTGGATGACAGATCTGTCTCTGCTCAGTTTTTGCAGAGCAGACACGGACAGAGTCCATTCTGCTCTATAGCCAGGGCTGGCTGCAAATGGATTCCGCTGTCTTACACCCGGCCGCGCTCAGATCCACCTAGACGGAGAGGGACAGAGCCACCTTCAAATTTTTTTGCAGCAGACCAGAGATATCAGGGTGTAAATGGACACAAGTCCGTTTACACCTGCCAGTTCACAAGGGGCGAAAGGACCATCTGACAAGGTCCACTTGAAAAACTAACAGGTGGACCGATCAAACTTTTAGTGTGAAAAGGGCCTTAATAAACAAAGTCTCTTTACATAATATTTCAAAATGGGCACTTGTATTTGATCTAAATATAAAAAGTAGTGTGAAGCCTCTTGCTTTTAAATTTTGCTAGAGGTGTAAGTAGTAAGAGGCCTCATGCTTTTTTGCCATCTGTGACCCCACTGGTAAGATCCACCCCCTCAGTCCTGATGGGGATTGTCAAAATCCAACTTGAGTGGTCACCACAAATGGGGGCAAACTGTCCCATGGATACAGCTGCGCTGGTGACAGATCTAAAAGGCGATGCGCACTCACCAGACACGCATAATATTTGCGCCTTGTAATAATAAAGGTTCCAGAGCAGAGAGCAGGCGATGCAGCAGCTGCATAGACAGCTACACCCTGATCGCACATTCATCTCAACACTGCAGACCCCCATCGTATGGGATCACCCATGGGGGCACCACATCACACACATTTGGCTGGATGGGGCAGATCTCTCGCATCGTTTAAACTTTTCACTCATCCACTGTCCGATCTTCAGTGCCAAGGACTGAATGCATCTATAGGGTGGGTGATCGCTTGCGGCTAGCCTCTGGGGAGCTTTTAAAGCCTGCAGACCCACTATACCAGGGACGGACCAGTACTTCCTAGAGGATACAAATACATCCTGAGAGACACCTACTGGAGAGAGTAACCTAGTGGACGAAGAGTGTCTTCATCAGCCTCTTATCCTACGTGATGACCCATTAGCCCATAGAGGGAAGACCATCTCCAAACCGGTTTTCTCCCTGATGACAGCTGGATTATTATAAGGCGCAAATGTTATGCGCGTCTGGTGAGTGCGCATTACCTTACCATTTTTGCACTGATACCGGGTCCAGTGTCACCATAACATAAGAAGCATCCTGTCACTATCATATTGAGACTTTCTATTGATCTTAATTTTATCTATTTTTATTGGCTCAAAACATTTTAGCGCTGCACATATTTGTTTATTGTTGTCAGTCTTGAGGTGTCTTATTGGTTACCTTTCTGTGCATGGTTACTTTTACCTTTATTATTTCTTTTGCGCTCACTATTTCTCTTTCATATCTAAAAGGCGATTTCCCTCACTTTGAATACATTTACTTTCACTTCCCTTAGGGGAAATTTCCCTGTGCTTCCTGTTCAGCAGACACAACAGGGACACAGACTGCAAAAAAAGGTCTAGGTTCACACCTGTTGATACTCTAAAATGCGATCCACTGCAGATTGCTTTTCAGAGGGTGGCCAAGCAGACAGATCAGGAGGAGATTCTGCTTTTTTTTTTTTTTTCCCTTTTAATGGCTGAACAGCAATTTTCAATGGAACTGGTGCGCTGAAACTGTGAGCTACAGCATGGCCCCACTGACTTGACGGGCAAGGCTACATTTTACTTGCCTCAGTGCAAAGCATCACCACATGTGAACAACAACCCCCTCCATCTGTATGGTAGGCAGTAAAATTAACAAAAAAAAAAAAAAAAAAAACACTATTAGGGTAGATCTCCTTCTCTAGTTTATCCATTCCAAAAATTAGGTCTGTTTTTTCCAACAGTTTTGAGAACATTGTTCAGAAACCAATGTAAGAACGAATATTGCACGAAGAAGTATATTTGCACAGGAGAAAACATTTCATCTCACCTGTTTGCTCACAGATTACAATGAGCTGAAAGGTAGCCTTGAAAAATTGCTGTGTTTTCACGACAGGCCCCACTAAAACCTTATTATGGCTAAAAAGACACTTTTGTAAAACCCTTCTTTGTTCAAATAAACAGTAACATATAAACACATGTATTCTAGTTTAAAGTGTAATTAAGCCTATATGAACAAAAAGTTTGAAATATGGAAAATTAGGATCTTTTTTGTGGGTTTTTTTTTTTTTTTTTACATCTATATCCATGCATCGCCTACAGGCTTTCCGTAGCCACTCTTGTACTATGCACCTACAGCTGTTCTGAAGCTCTGAGTTCTATGGACAGAAGGAAGCTGCTTGTAGTGCTTCCACACAGACTTAATATGCAAGTAAAAGTGGTCATCTGGGGAAAGCATACTCCTACTTAGTTTACCATGTGTGATTTCACATCAGAAAACAGCATTACACCTAGACAACACCTGGGGCAGGCTGCCATTTTTAATCTTAAGAGTTAGATACATTTTAGGATTCTGCATTTAAAATCTTGCTTTGCACATGATATAAAAATTAAATAGGTGACGACTCAGAGATGGGAGGCTGATGATTGAAAACAAAAAGTAGGACACACTCAGGGAGCTATAAACATTTATGACAAAAAAAAAAAAAAAATATATATATATATATATATATATACATACATACATACATACACACACACACACACACACACACACACACACACACACACACAGCAAGGTTCCCTTCACGGAAACGATTCAGTAAGAGGTACAGGTGAGATAACAACCAGGCGTGGTGGAAGCAGAAGAGAAAATAAAAGCAATGAGGAGCTACACCACATTCAAACACAGACAAAAAATAGCAGTCTAGTCATCAACAAGGTAAAAGTGTAAGCTTATGAGAACTTGGAAGTACAAAGCAAAGCTGTCCTTGGTGCAAGGACCCCTGGGCCAATCTGCTGGTTCTAATCTCTCAGGTGTACAGACATTAGTGGGGAAAGGGGGGTGTCACTCCTGGAAGATAAACATGATATGATGTATACAGGTGTACAGACACATTATTTGGGGGGGGGGGGGGTCGTCATTATATATATATATATATATATATATATATATATATATATATATATATATATATAGCTATTCCATGAAGTATACAGTCAAATCAGGCAGGGGTGGGGGTTACTCCTGGCAGACAGGTAAACATTACACAATGTAATGTTCAGAAATGTATGCCAGGATTGCCTCCCATCCAAGGCTGATGTGTCTGAATACATCTTTTATACAAACAATACAAGGTACATACAGGTAAATCATCCCTGGGAGGATGGAAAGGGGTTACTTCTGGTAGACATGTACACATTATATATTGTATAGACGTGTACAGACATAAGACATGGGGGGGGAATCAAACCCAGTAGATCTATAAACATAAGGTGTACAGACACATAAGCCCAGGACAAGTAAGAGAGGTGGGGGGGGAGCAGTCTTGGCAGATATGTAAACAATACATGGTGCATACAGGTGTACAGGCAAATCATCCCTGGGAGGATGGAAGGGGGTTACTTCTGGTAAACATGTACACATTACGTATTGTTTAGACGTGTACAGACATAAAACATATGGGGGGGGGGGGGGGGGAAATCAAACCCAGTAGATCTGTAAACATTATAAGAAGGTGTAGAGACCCATAAGCCCAGGACAAGTGAGAGAGGTGGGGGCGCTAGTCCTGGCATATGTGTAAACAATACATGGTGCATACAGGTGTGCAGAGATATCAGCCCCAGGGGGGGTTCATCCAGTAGCAGATACATATTACATGAAGGCATATGAGGGGGGGGAGAGACAGACTCCCAGCAGACATACATACATTATATGGGGGGGGGGGGGGGGCTTCCCTAATAGGTCTATAAACATTGTAAGCAGTATACAGGTGTAATGACACATTGGGGGGGGGGGAGTGGGTGTCATTCCTGGCAGACATGTACACATTACATATTGTAAACAGGTACATAGTTGGGGGGGGGGGGGGGGGGTCTCTTCATGCAGAATCAGGTGGTTAGAGGAGTCTCTCTGGTAGTATCAGGGGGGCGGGGGGTCTCTCAAGCAGTAATGGGGGTCTACTCTAGCAGTATTTGGGGTCTGCCTCTAGCAGGCATGGGGGGGGGGGGGTCTCTCCAGCAGTGCTGAGGGGATCTCCAACTGTATTGGGGGTCCCTGCAGAAGTATTGGGGGATGGATGTCACTCTGCCACCCATACATAGAACCAGAGGGGTGAAGCACACTGCTGGCAGTGAAGTAGTGGGGTGCTGTACTTTGAGTCCCTCCATTTTATGGGGGGTCCTGTACTCGGAGTCCTCCAAGATTTAGGGGGTGTAAAGTGAAGAGGTAGGTCAGCACCCGGTGAGGCTCTTTACCTGGGTCAGGCAGTCTTCTCCATTAGCCTTGGCGTCCACCTCCACCTCCATGACCACCGCATCCGGCCTCGTCACATAGCACAGCATGGTAGCAGCAGGGGAGACCTCGGTCGTCTCCTCCGGTGTAGTCTCCGTCAGTCCGGTGATCGCTCAGCCCGCTAATAGAAGGCGCAGGAGCCGAGAGCGCCCTGGTCACTGTCCGTGCCCCCCCTATGGACAGGAACATGTAGAGGGAGCCCAGGAAGGCGCCTAAGAGCAGCAACCTCCGCACAGGGAATGGTGGGGGCCAATCACCCAGTCCCCCTTCTCCCTGCACATAAACACGCCCACCTAGCCAATACACGCCCATTCGCGTTTATTGGTTCGCTAACAGATGGGGAGGCAAAAAGTGAGCGCCTGTGGCCCCGCCCCTCGCAGACACCAATCGCCTGCTCAGCTTCCAGTGGGATTTCCAGCTGAGGCGCTCCGCTGTCGGAACGTTACCTGTACCTGACTGACTGGACTTGCGGCCGGCTGACTGAGGGAGGGAGCTGCAGGCTTCTCCACCGGTGTTAGGCTGTTTATAAAGTTTATCTAAAGCCCGAACTTGTTTGCTTTGGATGGAGTGGTGAGGGGTTACATCTCCTGTCAGGTTTTTATTGCCGAGGCCTGACACACTGAGGTCGTTATTTAGTGATGTTTATATACAGGATGTGGCTGACAAAACACTAGTTATGTTCTGTTAAAATCTTCCAGACACAGTGAAGGAAATAAGTATTTGGTCCCCTGATGATTTTGAATGTTTGCCCACTCACAAAGAAATGATCAGTCTAGAAATCTAATGGTAGGTGTATTGTAATACTGAGAGACAGAAGAGCAACAAAAAGCTCCAAAGAAATGCATGTCTAACAAATGATGCACTGATCTGCATGTTCATGAGGGAAATAAGTATTTGATCCCCTCTCATTCAGCAGGATTTCTGGCTACCAGGTGTCTTTCATACAGGTAACAAGCTGGGATTAGAAGCAGTCTCTTAAAGGGAATGCTGCTAATCTCATTTTGTTACCTGTATAAAAGACACCTGTCCACAGGAGCAATCAATCAGATTCCAAACTCTCCACCATGGCAAAGACCAAAGAGCTGTCCAAGGATGTCAGGGACAAGATTGTAGACCTACACAAGGCTGGACTGGGTTACAAAACTATCGCCAAGCAGCTTGGTGAGAAAGGTGACAACAGTTGGTGCAATCGTTCGCAAATGGAAGAAACACAAAACAACTGTCAGTCTCCCTAGGTCTGGTGCACCATGCAGGATCTCACCTCGTGGAGTGTCAATGATCATGAGAACAGTGAGGAATCATCCCAGAACTACACGTGAGGATCTTGTCAATGATCTCCAGGCAACTGGGACCACAGTCACCAAGAAAACATTTGGTAATACACTACGCCAACATGGGGGATTGAAATCCTGCAGTGCCCGCAAGGTCCCTCCCTGCTCAAGAAAGCACATGTCCAGGTCTGTCTGAAGTTTGCCACTGAACATCTGAATGATGTAGAGGAGGAATAGTTGAAAGTGTTGTAGTCAGATGAGACCAAAATCGAGCTCTTTGGCATCAACTCTACTCGCCATTTTTGGAGGAAGAGGAATACTGCCTATGACCCCAAGAACACCATCCCAACTGTCAAACGTGGTGGAAACATTCTGCTTTGGGGGTGCTTTTCTGCTAAGGGGACAGGACAACTGCACCGCATCAAAGGGACGATGGACCGTCAAATCTTGGGTGAGAACCTTCTTCCCTCAGCCAGGGCATTGAAAATGGGTCGTGGATGGGTGTTCCAACATGACAATGACCCAAAACACACGGCCAAGGCAACAAAGGAGTGGCTCAAGAAGAAGCACATTAAGGTCCCGGAGTGGCCTAGCCAGTCTCCAGACCTTAATCTGATTGAAAATCTGTGGAGGGAGCTGAAAGTTCGAGTTCCCAAATGTCAGCCACCAATCTTAATGACTTGGAGAGGATCTGCCAAGAGGAGTGGGCCAAAATCCCTCCTGGGATGTGTGCAAACCTGGTGGCCAACTACAGGAAACGTCTGACCTCTGTGATTGCCAACAAGGGATTTGCCACCAAGTACTAAGTCATGTTTTATGAAGGGGATCAAATACGTATTTCTCTCATGAACATGCAAATCAGTGCATAATTTGTTAGACATGCATTTCTTTTGAATTTTTTGTTGCTATTCTGCCTCTCAGTGTTACAATACACCTACCATTCGATTTCTAGACTGATCATTTCTGTGTGAGTGGGTGAATATTCAAAATCAGCAGGGGATCAAATATTTATTGCCTCACTGTACATGTATAGAAACTTCCTCATTCTCTTCTATCTGCTGCTGTTACAATTTATATGTTTAAGGCCAGTTCACACTATAGAAGCGCAGTCCAGATGCATTCTTGATGTGTTTTTGGCATGTTCCGGTGAGTTTGTGACACGTTCCAGTGCATTTTTTACGCATTCCAGTTAATTTTTTCCCCTCTTTTTATTCAATTTAAATAGGGACATGTGCATTCCAGTGCGTTTTTTATGCGTCTTGGTGCATTTTTGATGTGTTTTATCATGTTGCAGTACAGTTCTGTGCAGAAAAAATGATCTACTTTTTTTTCTGCAATCGGAATGCACCGGGACTGTAAGCACTGATGTGAACTATGATATTGACAACCATATCACCTACTTTCTGTGCATTTTGGATGCAGAAAAAAAGCAACTGAAACATATGTAGTGTGAACTGGCCCTAAAGCAGAACTAATAAGTTCACACTATATAAACGCAGTCCAGATGCATTCTGGATGAGTTTTTGCATGTGCATTTTTGGTGCGTTCTGGTGCGTTTTTGACACGTTCTAGTGCGTTTTTGAAGCATTCCAGTTCACTTTTTCCCCCTCTTTTTTTATTCAGTTTAAATAGGGACACGTGCATTCCAGTGCATTTTTTATGCGTTCTGATGCGTTTTTGAAGCGTTCTAGTGCGTTTTTGAAGCGTTCCAGTTCACTTTTTCCCCCTCTTTTTTATTCAATTTAAATAGGGACATGTGCATCCCAGTGCATTTTTTATGCGTTCTGGTGCGTTTTTATTGTGTTTTACCACGTTCCAGTATAGTTTTGTTCAGAAAAAATTCAGCATGTTCTACTTTTTTTCTGCAACCATAACCTTAGCATGTCCCAATTTTGAAATACATAACGCACTGGAACTGCAAGCACTGATGTGAATTACGACATTGACAACCATATAACCTACTTTCTTTGTGTTTTGGATGCAGAAAAAAAGCTACTGCAACGCATGTAGTGTGAACTGGCCATAAGGCTTGGTACGCATCTGTGCTGGTGATGGCACTGCAGGCCCTGCACAAATACCGGCATCTGCAACCACCCAGAGAGAAATGCAGGACCTGCAAGTGGGTGCTATTTATCCCAATGGCACACTGCCCACACTGGAAATCGCAACCGTACTGGGAACCTCAGTTACCGCGTGGGCTGTGATTTAAAAAATAGTGCAGGGACTTCTTTCCTGTGTGCCTGGGGCACAGCAGCCCATTCAAATGAATGGGCTCTTGTTCCCGTGCAAATCATAGCTCGCACAGGTGTGAACCTAGCCTGATGGTCCAGTCCCACACTGATACCTCCATTTTCACCTCATTGGCCGGCGCTGCTTGAGGTAACTCTTACTCATGAGTAAGAGTTAGTTATCTACAGGGATCATGCCAATGATGTAAGCCGAGCTGTGCATGCGCAGCTCATTTTATTTGCTGCAAAAGACTGAGCAGGTGGGTAGGTGTACTTTATCACACTTGCGGTGATCACTGCTGGATATACTTTGTGTTGGTCCAGCAGCGACCACCACAGGTAACCACTGGCTGTGCTGAGAGATGCAAAAACCTGCAGCCACCGGCAACCTGTCATTAGAGTGAATTGAGCCAGTGGCTGCATCTAGCTGCTCCCATCCAAGGCTGTGAAGGGAAGATCTTGCTGTACAATTCACACCAGCCTTAATCACTGGTGTGAATGTAGCCTAATAAACGTATACATGTCTAAACGGAAGCACCTTATGGGTCATTAGGGCTCATGTACACAAGTATAATTAAAACAAACTGGATTCATCTGCCAAAGGCTAGCAGATACTGTACATACAGGTAAATAAAACACATGTAAGCATTCATTTACACCAGATGTAGCTGAACTTGTTTTAAATGCAGTGCAAACAATGCATATGCATTGTTTAACCACTTGCCCTCCTGAGGATTTATCCCCCTTCCTGACCAGGCCGTTTTTTTCTGTTCTGCTCTGCGCTATTCAACTAATAATTGCGCGGTCGTGCAATGCTGTACCCAAACTAAATTTATACCCTTTTTTCCCACAAATAGAGCTTTCTTTTGGTGGTACTTGACCACCTCTGTGGTTTTTATTTTTTGCTCTATAAACAAAAAAAGAACAAAAATTTTGAACAAAAAACAGAAACAATTGAGTACTGTCCGTGATACTTTTTTTGTTTGCACTAACATACAATTTTGAGGACAAGCTTTGTCCCCTTCTTCAAAGTCCAAGTAGTACTATACAAATCACAAAGTTTCAACAGAATGTTAGAAGAGATCAAGAAAAAAAAAAGAGAGGCTAGAGATAAGATACAGCAAAAGCGAGGGGGGAGGGGAATACTACACTCACACAGAGGGAGTCAAGCTTCAGCTAATAGATGTATGTATCAGCTATGGATGTAGTATCCCTGTATAGTAATATCCCTCACAAGGATGGATTAGCTGCATGTCACAGATCTTTATCATCCTCACCAAACCACAAATACACTGCTGAGGATGTTACACAGCTCATTGAATTCATACTCACACACAACTACTTTGCCTTCAATAAAGACATCTATCTTCAATGTATGGGTACTGCGATGGGAAGTAAAATGGCACCCCAATATGCCAATTTATTTATGGCTGACCTGGAGGAAAAATTCCTGAACAGCATGAAACAAAAACCATACAGATACTTTTGCTATATTGATGATATTTTCATCATATAGACAGAAGGTGAAGAAAACCTAAAACACTTTTACTC